AAAAAAAAAAACAAAAAACTGCCGATAGACGAGGCTGCAAAGCAAAGATGGTGAATAATCGCCATAAGAGGAAATGGAGAGATGCTGTTTATAAATAAATTGTTGAGCATTTGTGTTGGAAAGAACCCAGTGCCTGAATTCAAGGCCCCTGAGTCAATATTTACTGTATTGTAATGGTGAGCTTTTCACAAGGCAATCTGGGCTTAGACTGGGGAGGCCTTTGGATAAAGGCCTTCCAGAAAAGAACCGCATGATTGGAACAGAACTGCTGGCAACCGCGGCAGACGGATTACGGCTGGTTTACAGGGCTCTCAGTACCTGCGGATCTGTCCCTGAAGGCCAGCTCGGCTCATCCCTGGAGACAGCTCTTTGGCCGTGGAACCCGGGGCCACTGTCCTGAATCTGCTGCTTCCTGAAACACTTTGTGTCTTGGTTGCTTCCATTTCAGGAGCCTGAATAACTCTGCGTGCCCACGTGTGCTGCTCCTGTCACCTGGGGCCGCACAGCAAACCACCCTGCGATGCAGCGGCTTAGAACTCCTGTTCCAAGACGTCTGTTTTCTCGCAGATCAGCAACCTGGGCAGGGCTCAGCGGGAGAGCTTGTCTCTGTCCCTGACATCTGGCCTTGATGCTTGGAAGACAGATACGGCTAGGGCTGGACCAGCAGGGGCCCCGGTGTCTCCCTCTATCTCTGTGTTTTCTCCGTGTGGCTGCCCTAGGATGCGGGTCTCAGGACTCCCAAGAAAGAGCCAGTGGAAGCTGTGTTGCCTTTATGACCTACCTCAGGGATCTACAGCATCCCTTCCACCACATTCTGTTCTACAGAAGCGAGTTACATATGCAAAGAAAGGGAATACGGGTATTGGTTGGAGGAGGGTCCAAGAAGTTGCCGGCATCATTTCCACACCTCACGGCGGAGGGAACCCCAGCCCTGCAGGGTCTGAGCTTTGCAGGCAGCTGAATCTAGAATGCTCCTCAGCTTTCTCAGTGCAAGTGTTTACAAAAGCCCAAAGTACAGAATATACAAACTCTTTCATTTAGACGCTCGTGATGAAGAATCTCTCACCATTTGAACAGGGCAAGACCAAACTTCAGTGGCACCAGGAGAAACGTCACATGTGTTCTACCTACGAAAGGACTGTGCTACAGCTCCTTCCCCCGGAGGGACCACAGTCTGCAAACTAGGTTACGTGGCAAAGGCTGGACAGATTCCCATGAGAAGGCTCTAGTTTTAGACAGTCGGGAGTCTGAATGAGAACCCACTGACATGCTAACGATCAATGGTCTTCTCTGTGCCTTTTAGCCTAGTTCCAAAGGACTTCTACTCGACCAAAAGTGGCTCCTCTAGAGGGGGAGTCACCTGGGAATGACCACATTGGGCTTTCTTCAAAATGGTCTAGAATTTAAGCATACCAGGAATTCACATTGGCTTTTGCTGTCATGGAACCTAATTGGTTCATGTCATTTTTGCTGAGTTTTTATATAAGGTCATGTTCAAACGCTCTATGACGGTGGGTCTCGAAGTGCGGTCCCCTGACCATACCAGCATCCCCTGGGAGTCTGAAAATTCCCCTGCCCCCTCCCAGACCTGCTAATCAGACACTCGGGGTGGGGAGATGCAGCACTCTGAGCGGCCCTCTAGGGATGCTGGGGCAGACTCGAGGCTGAGAACGCTGTCTTGGAGGGGGTGGGATGGGAGAGGGAGAAAAGCAGGCCCACCAAGGCGGGCACTGATTGTAGCTGAGTCTGGGGTAGTGACAGAAGATGAAACTCACATGATGTGATTCTCTGGCCTTGCACAGAGGGAAAGAACAGAGATGGAAAAACACAGAGCTCATGGGTGGGAGGAATGACCTCTTGCCAATCTACGTGCTCATGGTGCTACTGAAAGGAACCCAGGCCTCCAAACCAGAAGCAGGTGCTGCCTTCGACGTCTTTGTCATCTTAGGAAATGGATTTAGCTCCTCAGCTTTCTATAAGGAGGGCTTCGTAGGGATAACAGGAGATTTTCGCTAATTATTACTGAACCCTTGTCAAGTTCATTCATTCTATTATCTCATTTAATCCATGCAACAGACCTGTGATGTTCCGAGTATTATTTGGCAGGTGAAAAAACTAAGGTGCAGAGAGGTTGGGTAACCTGCCCAAGGTCACACAGCTAGCCCCCCTCTCAACCACCCACTGCAATTTAGAAACTGTAAACCTCCCTTCCAAGGATGGCAGGAGAACAAGTTTGTGCAGAGAAGGGCAGGACCGGGATCACAGGACCCCAGGCAGGCTGGGCAGTCGGACTCTTGGTTGTCAGGCTGTCCCTAGTGGCTGAGGGGCCACCAGCTGACAGAGCCGAGACACTGTCAGATCTCTTGTCCTTTGAGACCACAGGGAAGGGGGCATGGAAAATAGCTCAGAGGCCAGAAGAAGAAATTGCTTCCTGATGCATGTTGACAGGACTCATTACTCTGGCAGCATGTTTCCATAAAATGTCAATGACATTGTTTGCTTAGAAAAGGACTGGCTACTGGTGGTAACAGGGTGCACAGCCAGGGATGCTGGGGGACAAGGAGGGAAGAGACACTCCTCAGAGAGGCTCCTGACAAAGCCCATTCAGACAGTGCTCCCAGAGTTATCCCCTCACAGTGCAAACCACACCCCAGCACTCCAGAACCAGCAATGGCTTCCCATTATCTCCAAAGCGAAGTCCCAACCCACAGTTCAGAGTCACCCGTGATCACCCCCAAACTGCTTCCTGACCTCACATCCCTCTATTTCCTTCTGTGGGTCGCGGGCGCCTGCTGGTACCCACCAGACACATCAGGTGCATTTATATCCCTCCCTTTCCCCACTTCTGTGTTAGGCACATCTGGAAACTTGGAGTCAGGCGCCCCGCTGATGTATCCTGGTGATACTCGACCAGGTGTGGTGGATGGACAGTAAGCCCCTTCTGTGTGGGAGGAAAGGGGCCGGAAATTTCATTCTGTGAAATTTAGAAAGACCAACAGACAGAAAATTCACTTGCTTCTCAAACAGCCCTCACCAGACAGTTTACACTTCTGGAGATGTGACAGTCAATGAACGCGGATCCATCACCTATTTTTGGTTTGTTTCGTTTGTTTGTTTTTAATTTTTTGCCACACTGTGAGGCTTGCGGTATCTTGGTTCCCCCACCAGGGATCGAACCCGTGCCCCCTGGTGTGGAAGCGTGGAGTCCTAACCACTGGACCACCAGGGAATTCCCCATCACCTATTTTTGGTTCAGACCCTCTGATGAGTTCCAGGTGAGCTGGGGCTCAGTCACATACAGAAGGACAGGGTTCACTTTGGTGAAGGACTCACACCCGTCATTCTTGTGGGCATAACTGAAACCAAAAATCCAGCACATTCTAAGGAACATCATCATCACGCAGCCAGGAGCAGTTAGCCAAACACACCCCTCACCTGAACACGAGCTCAGCCACGACCGTGCTTAGGGACCACACTCAGTACATGGACATATTCTGTCATTTGGTTTTCTTTCCCCAGTTACCACCATTTTAATTTTTATTTCCTCTTCATACACAAGAGTATATCAAGTATGCAGTTAAAGTATGTAAAGAATTCTAAGTGTTGGCTTCCCTGGTGGCGCAGTGGTTGAGAGTCCGCCTGCCGATGCAGGGGGCGCGGGTTCGTGCCCTGGTCTGGGAAGATCCCACGTACCGCAGAGCAGCTGGGCCCGTGAGCCATGGCCGCTGAGCCTGTGCGTCCAGAGCCTGTGCCCCGCAACGGGAGAGGCCGCAACTGTGAGAGGCCCGCGTACCGCAAAAAAAAAAAAAAGAATTCTAAGTGTTTAGGCTCTGAATATATGTCTGTTCATCTTTACACAGCAAAACAATAAATATCTCTATTTGGGCTGACACAAAATTTGTGCTTAGTAAGACAGAGTGTTCGTCTCAAGCCAGGGATCAGTAAATATTTTCTGTAGAGGGCCAGGTGATCTATCTCTCAGGTGTTGTGGACCAAGAGCTGGAGTTGAGGATATCACGTAGGTACTTTATGTAACAAGAGAGAAAATAAATATCCACAAATTTCTTTTGAAATTCAAAATACAGTAGTATAATTAAGACAGGTTTTTGCAATACAGGCCGTATTAGCTAGCTCAGGCTGCCATAACAGAATATCGCAGGCCAGGTGGCTTAAACAACAGAAATGTATTTTTTTCCCAGTTCTGGAGACTAGAAGTCCAAGATCAAGGTGCTGGCAGGGTTGGGTTCTGGTGAGACCCCTCTTTCTAGCTTGCAGAGGGCCACCTTCTCACTGTATCCTCACATGGCTTCCCCTCTGTGTACACCCAGAAAGAGAAAGAGACAGCCATCCATCTCTGGTCTCTCTTCTTATAAGGACACCAGTCCTATTTGATTAGGGCCCCACCCTAATGACCTCATTTAGCCTCAGTTAACTCCTTAAAGGCCCCATCTCCAAATACAGTCACATTGGGGGCCAGGGCTTCAACATGTTAACTGGGGGAGGGGCACCATTCAGTCCAAAACCCCGTTCTACTATGAGAAAAATGGAATTCTCTTTTGGGAGAAAACATTTCACTAAATTAGAGTTCAGATGTAAAACCCATTCGACGCTGATGGTTCCTACAAGAACAGGCAGAGGCAGGTAGTTTGCTGACTCTGATGTAAAGGCCGCACGGTGGAGCAGAAAGAACCTTGGCTTTGGGGTCAGGCTTGGCCTGTGTTCAAATCCCAGCTTTGCCTTTTTTCAGCTATTGCTACTCAGCAATCACTGAATCTCTGTGAACCTGGGCTTGGCCATGTCTGGGGGGAAATATAGGTCTCCTTAAAAGGGAGATAAGTCTAGAAGGGAAAGTAACTCTCTCGGGTTTCCGTAAGGGTGTCAGTCGGGAGGGAAAACACCTGAGCTGGACGCACAACTGCCCCAGGGAGATGCCAGCCAGCACCATCCTCGTCATCAGAGTTCTGAGGAGGTGAGAACTCCAAAATGACTGGATTTTACAGATCGAGGATGTCGTCTGGATAGGACGTGATGAGAACAGCCGTTTAGCTCTGTGGTCTTCCTCCCAGTGCAGTCATGATAATAACATCAGGCAAATCCCAACTGAGGGACAGTCTACCAAATATCTGACTGGTACTCCTCCACGGTTATGAAAAACAAGGCAAGTCTGAGAAACTGTCACAGCCCAGAGGAGCCTAAGGAGACATGATCGCTACCTGTAATGTGGGATCCTGGATCCAATCCTACAAGAGGAAAAGGACAGTAGGTAGAATCTAAGCACATCTGGATAAAGTTTGGACTTCGGTTAATAACAACATATCAATACTGGTTAATTGATTGTGACAAGTACACCATATTAACGTAAGGTGCTAAGAACAGAGGAAAGCAGGTGCGGGGTATACAGAATTCTCTGTGCTATGATGACAATTTTTCTGTAAGTCGAAAACTGTTCTCAAATTTTAAGTTTATTAAAAATTAATCCTCCATAGGTAAAAGATCCATTCAAAGTACAAGGTGGACCGGTGGGTTTTAATGTAACCGGGATGAAAGGTTGGTTGATACTCTACATTAACTAACTTTTGAGAAACTAACACTTGTCTAATTTTGATGTAATAGCAAAGAAAAATACTCCACAGTTATCTAGAAAGGCTATTGAAAATGCCTGCCTCCCTTTTTCAATTTCTAATCAGTGTAAGGTCAGATTGTTTTCATATATTTCAAAGAAAACCACATGATGCAAAAGATAAAAAGCTAAAACAGTTGTAAGACTCGAGAAATCCTCTACTGAGCCAGTCATTAGAGATTTGCAAAAATGTAAACAATGCCACACTCTGACTCAATTTTTCTGTTTTGGAAAATACAGTTATTTTTAATTACAAATATTTATGTTAACATGCTGTTGGTTTACTATTTTTTAATGAGTTAATAGTTATTTAATTTTTTTCCTCAGTTCTAATTTCTTGTATGGTAAATATCAATAGCTATTACCCACATGAACAAAAACTCCTTGGGCTTCTCAAAAATTTTTAAGTGTCTAAAGGGTCTTGAGAACAAAAAGCGTGAGAATGACCGTGCTAAACAAATATTGGGTTGGCCAAAAAGTTCATTCAGGTTTGTCCATAAGATCTTACAGAAAAAGCCAAATGAACTTCATGGCCAAACCGATACTTTATTGAGTCCTCACAGCTACCTACTAGGTAGGCAGTATTATTATTATCCCACTTTGCAGATGAGAAAACTGAGGAACAGAGAGGTACAGTAACTGCTCAAGGTCACCCAGGAAGTAAAGAGACTGGAGTTGAAACTCGAACCCAGGTCACCATGCACTCCTGACTACCTTGTGTCCTGGGGCTCCTCCCCCACCCTTCCAGGTCTGTGAGCTCTGCAAGGGGGTGGCCCCCGCCGACAGCCCTGTGATCTACTCGGACAGGGCAGGCTACAGCAAGCAGTGGCATCCTGCCTGCTTCGTGTGCAACAAGTGCTCCGAGCCGCTGGTGGACCTCATCTACTTCTGGAAGGACGGGGCGCCCTGGTGTGGCCGTCATTACTGCGAGAGCCTGCGGCCCCGGTGCTCCGGCTGCGACGAGGTGAGGACCAGTGGGATGGGCACCCCCAGACTGCAGGAGGGGACCCAGAGGCCCAGGGGAGTGTAGCTTCTTGATGATGTGATCCACAGATAGGAAAACTGAGGCTCAGATCCCCCTTCACACTCTCAGCCTCTGTTTTCCCATCTGCAGAGTGGGGCAGAAATTAGTTCCCACCCCCGGGCCTGTTGGGATGGGTCAGACACAGAGGACCTGTCAAGTCTCATCCTTGGCACAAGGCTTGGCACTAAGGGCTCAGAAGAACATTATGGGCTGCCGCCAGGAGGTAGATGACCCACATTCAAACTGGGCTCTGCATCTGTGAGGCATGTGCGTCCCTAACCCCTGTGCTTCCGTTTTATAACTTACCAAATGGGAGGGTAACAGTGCCCATCCCATGGAATTGCTGTGAGGATAAATGAGATCATGCCTGAAAATGCTTGGCACGGGGCCCGAGTAACTAAGAAGTGGAAGCTGCTGTGAGTCTTAGGGTAATGTAGTACAAGATGATACAATAAAATCATGTAGCGTTAACGTAACACAATCGGACAGTTAGGAGATGCTGTGAAAGGGGTTCAGCTCTCCAACATGGGTTTAGACTAGAGAAACTCTAAGGTGTATGAACAGTGACAATAATGGCTATTACAATAATAACTACCGCCTGCATGCCTTTGGTGACGAGAAACTCACTACCTTCACCTTTGGCACATACGAGGGTTAGAAATGTCTTCCTCACTTTAAGCCAATACCTGCCTCCTCCCACCTTTCACGTGTTGGTCTCCGTGTGAAGTTAAGACCCTGTAATCCTCCTACCTCATAACTGTGTGGGCAAGGATGTTACAGAAGGAAAAGGGCTGTCAGCAGGCCTGGTCCCACCCACCTCATTTCTGTGAGATCAACAGTGTGCTCGCGGTAACAACACCTCATCCTAACGTGCTACAGACGTTGTGTGTGGTGTGCCGTTACATCTCACAACAGTCTTTCAGGGCCAGAGGATCATTATCTCCATTTGACATTCGAGAAAAGTGCAGCTCAGAGAGGTCAGTGATAATCACAAAGCATTGACTTTGTCTCTGTTACCACTCCGAGTACTCCATCTGTAGCAACACACGCGGCCCTCATAAAACCCCATGGGATGGGCAGTATTTATATCCCCATCCTACAGATGTGGAAACTGAGGCACAGGGAGGTTGAGTAATTTGCCCAAAGTCATGCAGCTGGTATTTAAGTGAAAACACGTACCTGGTCCCTGTTTGACCCCCAAATCAGAAAGCACATTTAACCAGTATGCTGTTCTGCTCTCTGGTTCCTCGCCAGATTGTACAGATGTTCCGAAGTGTTACTTTATTCCAAGCCCAAGCAACTGGGCTTTGGATTTGGCCCAGACAGCATCATAGATGTCAGATACGTAAAACCTGTCAATAGCGGAGGATTTTTTTTTTTTTTTGATCCCGGAAGCTAAGATGCAACCATGACCTTCGCCAAATACTGTACTTACTGTCTTAGATTTATGTCAGATTTCTCCACTGAGGCATTGAAAGGTCAAAACAAGCATGGGGGACGAGGGACCACCATCTGACGGCTTGTCTCCCACACCCTGTCTACTAGGGACAAAGCCTGAGCTGAACGATTCTTCTGCTCCCCTCCCCAGATAATATTCTCAGAGGACTACCAGTGCGTGGAAGACCTGGCCTGGCACCGAGAGCACTTTGTCTGCGAGGGCTGCGAGCAGCAGCTGGGCGGCCGGGCGTACATCATCTCCAGGGCTCAGCTTCTGTGCCCAGCGTGCAGCAAGTCCAAACGCTCCTGAAGGGCTGTGCACCCACGGCTGGAATCCACGGGATCCCACCGAGAAGCACAGCCAAGTGTGCCAAGGCCATCCTAAGGGTCTGGCGAGACAGCCAGCAAGCAACAAAAACAGTGATCTTTCTTCAGTGGATATATATATATATACACACACATATTCTAGATCGGGTGGGGAGGGATCCTTGAGGGTCAATAGTTTCAAAGCCGGAGATGTTCTGAGAAGTCTTAGGACGCAGTTATTTTGTTTTTGCTGCTGTTGTTGTTTCCCAGCTACCAACGAAACACATCCTGCCCGGGCTCTCTAGGAGGAGTTTCCCAGAATGCAACTCTGAGTGATCAAATCACACAGCTGGAGGATGTGCGTGCTTTCTCGTGAAGCTGGGGGCTCCTCTAGGAGCAGCCTGGGATCCCGATGCTCGTTTGTTGCCTCCCTTTCAAATGGAATTTGAATCTTAAATAAAAAAACGTTGGCATGATAAATATATCAATAAAAGTTTTACGAAGTTCGCACATGCCCTGATCTCGTTATTTACACCTGGCAGTCATTTCACAGCATCTGTTTTGCGCCAAGATCCTGAGTGCCGGTGCTAGCAGAAGGCAATGGAAATGCAGGTGTGCCTCTTCATCAATTGTGTTTCATCAGACTCCTTTGGGGACTGAAGGTCCTCGGGGCAGAACTCCCATCCCCCCAGTTCTGGGTACCCCCAGAGCACTGATGGAAACGAGCGTGTCGTGTTTCATGGGACACCTGAAAGCAGCCTCTTGAAAACCGGGGAGCAGCAACTCAGGTGTTCTCCAAGTCCCGGCAGGTGATGAGTGAGCCCCTCTGGGTGTAAGACCAGGCAGGGGACTCAAAGCAACCAAACAGGGCCACCTAAGCTCAACCAATGGGCGCCACATGGGACACGGTGGCCAGTGCAGGCCAACCTGAAGAAATATGGCTTTTAAGAGAAATCGCTCCCTTTTTTAAACGTTGCCAACGGAACACTGAATGAGCCGAACAGAATAGCTCTTCGGGTGAGACTGTCTCTCTTTTATGGCCTCTCTGTGCACTTACAGTCTCCAAATTCGTTTCCTCCCCACAATTTCAGAAGAAAGACCTTTCTTTTTCTACTGCGGATATAAAGGTGAAAAAGACCTGAGGCTTAGGAGCTCACAGCCTCATTACCATGGCCTCTCTTTCCTTTTTTTTTTTTTTTTAGTCACGCCGTGAGTTCCCCGACCAGGGATCAAACCCGCGCCCTCTGCATTGGAAGTGCGGAGTCCTAACCGCTGGACCGCCAGGGAAGTCCTGGCCTCTCTTTCTTAAACTGCCCATCTATTGCCCAGTTTCTTTCATTTCACCACCCAAATTTTGCTCGCACTACCTCGTCTACAATACCTCCATTCATGTGGTTTGCAAGCTGGACGAAAGCTATTGCCCTATCCTTCGCAGGTGTTTTTCTGCTTCCAGCTCATCTCTCCAGCCCCCGTGTTTCTCTGCCATGTCCACCTTCTCAGAGAGGAGCTTTCGGACCCATCCTTCCAGGATCCCTGTTGCCCCTCAACTTAACAACCAAGTCCTCATCCTGACATGTGAGTCTTTCCAACACTTGGCTTAACTGTCCTTCTGGTCTTAAAACCCTTTCTTTCTCTAGATTTCAATTTCCCTATTTCACTTAAACATTCAGAAACTCCTTTTGATCAAGACCCTCTCCCCTGCCACCACCGCCCTGGTCTGTGCTGGGTCCTTGAAGACCAATTCCTTCTACAGAAATTCTACCTGCCCTAGAAGGAGCTTCTGAAACATAACCTGCTTCTCAGCAGCCCTCCCTGAAGCGCCAATGGAATAGGCACTTGTTCATGCCCTCATTCATTCATTCACAAGTGTTCACTGAGCGCTACAGAATTCCAATTTGCATGCTGAGTACAGGGGGTACAGTGCTCACAGAAAGAACAATACCCCTGGACTTCACAGTCTGTGCAGGAGATGGGCCTCGGGCAAATATTCCCACAAGTTGATGTAAAATTACTGCTTCTATGGATGGTATGAAGGTAGTGGGGTGGGGAATCAGGTCTCTATAAAGCAAATGAAAGAGATGGGACCTAATCAGGGATGTCAGGAAAGGTGCTCCTGGGAAAGTGACACTTGAACTGAGATCTAAAGGGCAGTAGATGCCGAGTAGCCAAAGAGGGAAAGGAAGATGGTTAAAGATGGATGCATGGATGGCATGTGCAAAGACCCTGTGGCTGAAGCAGCACCAGTTTATTCACTATCTACTTATTGCTGTTGGAGATACAGTGGTGACCATGAATGGGACTGAAAGAAGATGGGTGTGGCAGGTCCACAGACGGAGGATGGATGCTGAGGCACGAGAGGGTCACCAGCTTTGTGGGCAACAGAAAAGACCTGTTTCTGTCCTACGAGCAACGGGGAAGCCTTCCGAGAGTTTTCAGCAGGGGTTGGTAATGGCGGGACAGAGAGATTACGGGATACATGATCTCTCCTCTGTTGAAACCCCAGCGTGATGCCTGATCGATTTTGTCCTGGTGCCTCTGTCCACACCACTGTGGACAGGAGTAATGTCTCCCCACAGACCCCAGTGGATGCCACCCAGAACGTGCTCCTGCCTCCCTGGTGTCTACTAATGACACCAACCTTGCACTTGGAACACCGAATCCTCTCTGACACCCCCCTTCCCCTCTGATGGTCACTCAGTGCAGTCCTCTCTCCCATCACCTCTTCCTTCCATCCCCAACGTTGTATTTCACCTCGAACATTTTCGGCCCAGACTGACAACGATATCCTGGTGAGTCTCCCTGCCACGAACTCACCCTGTCCACACACTACTCAGGTGGGCCCTTCAGAAACACATCCTCGCCGGGCACTCTCCTCTAAAGAACAGGGGCTCCCTGTTCGCACATGGGAGAAAGTCAAAGCTTCTTAGCTTTGCAATCAAGTTTCTTAATTTTCCTGGCCCCAACCCACCTCGC